CCTGTCCCCAAAGCCTGTGCCTTGATTTGTTTTGCTTCATTCCCCCATGGAACGGCTGCAGGCCCAGGCACCACCTCCTGTTTGCACCAACCTGCGCTCGCCTCCTGCAACCCAACTGTTTACTCCTCTAAATGAAAGTTGCCGATGAGTCCTAGTGGCACCATTCCCACTTGCAGTTACTACTGACTTCGCCTGACCAAATCCTGTGGCTTTTTTGTTGTTGTTGTTGTTGTTTTAAAAGAAAATGGAAAATAAGGCTGCAGTGGTGATTTATAGCCACACAGTTTGCCTCCTGGGCCAAAGCAAACTTCTCGCCTGAACCCTCCTCGGGTATTTGCAAGCTGTAAAAAGAAAAACTGTGTTGTCTGGTTTATCACAAGGGACAATCCCAATTTCTGTTCAGCACCATGCTTTTTTTTTTCTTTTCCTTACTTTTGCAAGGTTGGGGTGAGGATAGAAAAAAGATATTTGCTCTTTTTGGGGGGGTTTGGTTAATACCCCAGAGTTAATCAGCTCTGCCCAATGTTTCCCGCCTTCACTCAGATGGTCACACGGGAAATTAAACATTGGAATAAAGACTTGGAAGAAGTGATTTGGGTGGCAACGTACGTAGCAAAGAGGCTGTTTGAAATGTGTGCATTTGTGCATTCTAAACAGAGACAGTGGCACGCACACACACACACACACACACACACACACACACACACAGGTTATGTCTAATGCAGAATTGATTTACATTTTTAAAGTGCAAATGGATGTAAACACAATACATACAGAACTGAATAATGAACAAAACAAATTAATCAAACCATATTGTTGAGTACCCTGCTTACAAGGAAGGAACGAAGGAAGGAAGGAAGGAAGGAAGGAAGGAAAAAAGAAAGAAAGAAAAAGAAAGAAAGAAGGACAAGGAAGGAAGGAAGGAAGGAAGGAAGGAAAGAAAGAAAGAAAGAAAGAAAGAAAGAAAGAAAGAAAAGAGAAAGGGAGGGAGGGAGGGAGGAAAAAAGAAAGAAAGAAAAAGAAAGAAAGAAGGAAGGAAGGAAGGAAAGAAAGAAAGAAAGGGGGGAGGGGGAGGGAGGGAGGAAGGAAGGAAGGAAGGAAGGAAGGAAGGAAAGAAGGAAGGAAGAAAGGAAGGAAGGAAGGAAATCAACAATTTCATCATGATCTTTGCATGAATGTGAAAATGTTAAGACAGTTCAAGAAACCTAAGGGGCGTTTCTTTGCTTTTCTAACGAGCAAATATTTCTTCCAGAATTTGTGAGAAATAAAAATGCATCTTTTTACTGTATATCCAACACAATGGCTTGTTTAAAATGTGCATTTCTTTCCGATCTTCATGTCCGAGGATTAGAAATTGGATAGTTGTGCTTTTTGGAATCATACATTTGAGATTTTTTTTTTTTTCTGGACAAGGTCCTGCTAATAATAAATAGGTCTATTGCCATCCAAAGCTGTTGTAGTGTATGGCAATCTGCTCACGGCTAAGAGAGAGTTGCGTCACTGGCAGCCTTATTCCTCTTGTTAGCAAGAAGCCAGGCTGAATTCATAGCTGGATTCCCACACCACACTTAATTAGATCAGTGAAAGTCCAAGGACTTTTGCCTTTAAAACTCCTTTTTAGAACAACTGTAAGATTTCCTTCCTTCCTCTGCCCCTCCCTCCCTCCCCCCTTGCTCCCTTCCTTCTTCTCATCTCCTTCCTTTTTTCTTTCCTTCCTTTTTTCCTTCCTTCCTTTTTTCCTTCCTTTCCCTCCTCCTCTTTCTTTCCATCCCCTCCCTCCCGCCTTCCTTCCCTTTCTTCCTTTCCTTCCTTCTTCTTGTCCTCATCTCCTTCCTTTTTTCCTTCCTTCCTTTTTTCCTTTCCTTCCCTTCCTCTTCCTCCTCCTCCTTCTTCTTCCCATCTCCTCCCTCCCTCCTTCCTTCCTTCCTTTCCTTCCTTCCTTCCCTTCTTCTTCTCATCCCCTTCCTTTTTCCCTTCCCTTCCCTCCTCCTCCTCTTCCTCCTTCTTCTTCTTTCATCTTCTTCTTCCTCTTCTTCCCATCTCCTCCCTCCCTCCCTCCTTCCTTTCCTCTCCTTCCTTCCCTCTCCTTCCTTCTTTCTTCCCATCTCCTCCTCCCTCCCTCCCTCCCTCTCTTCCTCTCTTCCTTGGTTTTCTCCCTTCCCTCCCTCCTTTTCTTTTGTTCCTACCAGCTCACCTCGCAGCTAAGCAGGGATGTTTGTGCAACACACAATAATGAAAGAGGGGCAGCTTCAATCTCCCAACTGCAGCCGCCATCTTACTTTCTGGAGCCTTCCTGCCAAGCTCTTATTACCAGCCCTGTGTGTCTCTAGCAGTCAATTGCAGAACCTCAGTGTGTGGTTTTGATATTCCGTGAAAAATCTATTTTAATATTTAATGACCCAAATCTCAGGCTATCACCCGATCTCAGGAGATTCCAGTGTTATTACATGACAGCTAGAGGTGAGCTTGCCAAAATCTCACAAAATGTGAAATATCTTGAGATTTGAGCCATGCTTAATTTTTTTTTTATCACCATTACACAAGGATTATTGTCTACTAGCTGCCTGAAAAGCCATCTCCCCCACCCATAAAGTTTTATGTACCAAAGGTGAGCGATAATAATACCTCTTAATCATTTATGTGTAATTTTTTTCCTGAGGAATTCCTAACCAGAGGCTCCGAGCCTTTATTTTTTATTGCTATATTGACTGCCTTTGATGCCAACTCTGCTTTCTGTCCATCTTCAACTGTTATGAATTCTCTTGAGTTCCTCCAGAGAAAAGCTGGCAAAATATCCTGGGATTTGGAGCCCACTGATTGTTTATCAATGCTTATTACCTCTCTCCTTTAGCTGCTAATTTCCCCTAAGGGTTGGGCAGAGGAGGAGCAGAGGCCCTTAGGAGGCAAGGAGAAGCAGGAGGAAGAGAGATAAACAACATGGCAAGGAAGAGCAGAGATGGGACATAGTTGTCCCACTCTACATTCTCCATAGGTGGCCAGTCAATCTTTCTGAACATCCAGGGGAGAGCATCCCTAATCAGTGCAGTGCAGATGTTTCTGCAGACAGGTGGGGAATCCTGATGGTTGAGAAGTTGGGGACCTGCAGTTGGCACATGTCTGGTGAACATCCGAACCATCTTAGAGAAGGTTGCTTTGACGGAGCTAGCCAAAATCCTACCGTATGATGTACCAGAGTTATTGTGTATGAGATAGGTAGCGCTTCCGGGTTGAAAGGATTTGCCGGTGACATCACCGTCACCCTGGGGATGATGTCACCAGCTAATCCTGGATGGAGATCCCCCTTTGGGGGATCCTTTCATTTCCCCATCAAGAGCTGGAGAATTTGCACAAAGATGGAAAGCAGAGAAAATCCCTACAGAGGGAGAAGTGATTAAGAAAATATTGGATTGTGCAGAAATGAATAGATTTATTTATTTATTTATTTATTTATTTATTTATTTATTTATTTTTCCAATTTCTATACCGCCCTTCTCCCTGAGGACTCAGGGCGGTGTATAGCCAGAATTAAAAACATGCAATACAAATATTAAAAAAACAATTAAAATATATATAAATTTGGCCCAACAATTAAAATCACTACCAATTAAAACATTTAAAAAATTTCTTCTTAAGCCAGCCTGGTTTGCTGGAAAAAATGGGTTGATAATTAGAGAGAGGAATCGGCATATTTTAAGATATGGGGACAATTTTATCATTGGTTAGAGAAGAGATATGTATAGGGTAATGTTGTAATGAAATGAGTGAAGAAAAAAAAAGAGAAAGAAGATAGATAAATGTATTAATAGAAAAATAAGAAATGTTATAATAAATGAAGATATGATAAATAGTGGAGGAGTAGGAAGAAGACACATAAGATGTACTCTGATGATACACTGAATGATTGATTATGTATTGTATGTTTGTTTGTCTATAAAATAAAAAACTTTTATTTAAAAAAAAAAGAGCTGGAGGGAAGGACGAGAGCTCAACCCCACAGCAGGTCTCGAACACGGGCTTGCTCACCTCCTGCCCAGTGTTCCAGTTACTCAACCCACTTTGCTCCTAGGGAGCCAAGTAAGTCCTGTAAATAAATAAACAAATAAACCAACTAAAAGGGAACCACTGTCCTTTTTTGTGTGTGGAAGGCTCGCTTCTGGATTTTTTTCCAGTGGATCACTGGAAATGGTGGATGGGGCAACTGGAGCCTTTGTGTTTTCGACTGGACCTGCTCATACTTCTTTTATTTTTTTCAAAAAATACCCACTGGAAGTCTTCCCTTCTGGTATCTCCCTTGGCTTCAGGAAAATCAAAAGGAACAAGAGAAGTTGTAGAGCCCAAGGAGGAGGAGGAAGAGGTTATCCCTATACCATATCCCTAAACGCTATTCCGTTTCAGACAAATGGTTGTCCAATCTCTTCTTAAAAACTTCCAGTGTTGGGGCATTCACAGCTTCTGGAGGCAAGTTGTTCCGCTGATTAATTGTTCTAACTGTCAGGAAATTTCTCCTTAGTTCTAAGTTGCTTCTCTCCTTGGTTAGTTTCCATCCATTGCTTCTTGTCCTGCCCTCAGGTATAAATCTATGTAATTAATAAAAATAATCATACATAAATGATTAAGTACAAAGATACATTTCTTCACCTATGGAGCATCTCCTCTCCTCTCCTCTCCTCTTCTCTTCTTTCCTCTCCTCTCCTCTCTTCTTCTCTCCTCTTCTCTTCTTTCCTCTCCTGTCCTCTCCTCTCCTCCCTCTCCTCTCCTCTCCTCTCCTCTTCTTTCCTCTCCTCTCCTCTCCTCTCCTCCCCTCCCCTCCCCTCCCCTCCCGTCCCCTCCTCTCCTTCCAAAGAAATTGCAGAAGTAAATTTTGGAATCAGTTTAAAAGGGTCAGTTTGGGGCCCTTTCTGCAGGGCATTCATATAAGGCTCCCAGGAAAGCCGTTTTATTTTTGATGAAGCTGTCTCTTCCTCCCTCTTAACCAAGCTTTTTGTTTTCTCCCTACCAAGGATCATCCATGAAGATGGCTTTTCTGGAGAAGACGTGAAGCAGTACAAGCCTGTGATCTATAGCAACACTATTCAATCCTTGGCAGCTATTGTCCGTGCCATGGACACGCTGGGCATAGAATACGGGGATAAGGAAAGACGGGTGAGTCACAATCTGGATAGCAACGAAGAAATGCCTTCGGTTCATAAAATCTCACCTGGCTCATAGTCCTCAGCGCAGGAGTGAAATTCAGCAGGTCTGACAGGTTCTGGAGAACCCATAGTGGAAATTTTGATTAGTTCGGAGAACCGACAAATACCACCTCTGGATGGCCCCAGAGTGGGGAGGGAATGGGGATTTTGCAGTATCCTTCCCCTAGCATTGGAGAGGGAATGGGGATTTTGCAGTATCCTTCCCCCAGGAGTGGGGAGGGAATGGGGATGTTGCAGTCTCCTTCCCATACCACGCCCACCAAGCCACGCCCACAGAACCGCTAGTAAAAAAAGTTGAATTCCACCACTGCCTCAGTGATACATTTTTTTAGAGTATTTTCATGAAAGGGCTGGAGAAGTTACTCCACCTGGCCTGTCCAGCTGAATTTTACCCTGCAAGTGTATTTCTAATGCAGGAGTGTCAAACTCAAGGCCCTTGAGCCAAATCCGGCCTGTGGGGTGTTTAGATCTGGTCCACGGGGTCACCCTGGAAACAGCGAAGGACCGGCCCACGGTGCCTCTGCCAGCGAAAAACGGAGCTCGGGAGGGGCGCGTGTGGGCCTCCCGGGCTCTGTTTTCGCTGGCAGAGGGCTGGAGGAGGCCGTCACAGCCAAAAATGGAGCCCTGGAGGACAATGTATCCCCCCCAGCCCCACCCGGGCCGCCACAGGTGCCCCCGACAAAAGTGACATCGATTTGGACATGCCTCCCCGTCCCCCCCCCCCGAGATCAAACCCAACTCTGATGCGGCCCTCAATGAAATTGAGTTTGACACCCCTGTTCTAATGGATGCACCTTACATTATTTATTGGATACTGTAGTTTCGATAAAAAGAATATTTGTCCTTTGCTGGTTCAGGAATTCTGGAATTCTGGAAGTCCACATGCCGTAAAATCCCCATAGTTGCCCATCCTCACTCTAAAGCTTTCTGTGGGAATGTTCAAAAAACAGAAACTGATATTTGGCGTACATTCAAATTAGGAGAATCATAATATCTAGGATATCATTCCCTAGCCAAGTGAGGACTTTCCCCCACCTTCTCTTTCAAACTTCCCTATAGCAGCAGACGAACGGATTAATGGGAGGGATTTTCTAAATTAAAAATGGCACCTGTTTGTTTCATCATTATCTCCCGGTATTTATTTCTTGGTTTGTTTTAATGAATTTCTGCATTACTCTAGAGAAGAGGGAAAGTGTGTAGGGGGAAAGTGTGTAGGAGAAAGGACGGCAGAACCTGTGGTGGAGTGAAAAGGGGCATCAGCCTAGAATCCCTACGTAGCCACAAGTGAACTCCCCTTGAGTGCTGTTAACTCTTATGTAATTTGAAGTAAGTGTTGACTATTAGCTGAGGAGATTCCTGTGCTCAGGCTTTTAGCAATAAATCAGCTTAATTGAATCTTCATTTATTTATTGTTTATTTATTGGTTCAATTTATATGCCGCCCTTCTCCAGAGACTCAGGGCAGCTTATAATGCATTAAGCAATAGCCATCATACTTTTGTATATACCTGCTTAGTAGGGCTTTTGCCCCCCCTCCCCGCCAAGCGGTGTTCTTTTTATACAAAGTCAGCTTATTGCCCCCACAATCCGGGTCCTCATTTTACCTACCTCGGAAGGATGGAAGGCTGAGTCAACCTTGAGCCTGGTGAGATTTGAACTTGCAGTAATTGCAGGCAGCTGGTGCTACTTAACAGCACTTTAGTCTGCTGCGTCACCAAGGTTCATGTGTGAACCTTGCCTTTCATGTCCAACACCGTGTGAAAATATGCATTTAAATTTTCCACCAGCCTTTAGCTGAACCTAAACATGGATTTAGATTTAGATTTAGATTTCATATTTCTAAACCGCCCATTTACCTCAAAGAGGGGCCCTATCTGGTGTCCGATATAATATAATCGATAAATAAACCAGCGTATAAAAATTAACATCAGAAAATAAAAATTAAATTAGGGTTAAAAAATATCAAAATTGTAGAATAATGATGAACACCAAAAAGGAAGGGGGAGATTGCTAAAATGGCCATTTAGCATCGGATTCACAGTTGCATTATGAGCCAAGGTGGTGCAGTGGTTAGAGTGCAGCACTGCAGGCTACTTCAGTTGACTGCTAGCTGCAGTTTAGGAGTTCAAATCTCACTGGTTCCTTCCTTCCTTCCTTCCTTCCTTCCTTCCTTCCTTCCTTCCTTCTATCCGTCCATTCATCCATCCATCCATTCATCCATCCAGTATTGCAGGCTGACTCTGCCCACTGCCAGCAGTTCAATCTTGACCGGCTCAAGGTTGACTCAGCCTTCCATCCTTCCGAGGTGGGTAAAATGAGGACCCAGATTGTTGAGGGCAATAGGCTGACTCTGTAAACCGCTTAGAGAGGGCTGTAAAACCACTATGAAGCGGTATATAAATCTAAGTGCTATTGCTATTGCATTAACACTAGCTTTGATGCATGCACCTACAGAGGAATGCATATTTATCTGGGTAGAAAAAGCCCGTTTATTAACTGTAGCTGTACAGAAATGCCACCGTCTCTGTTGTCATGCTGAAAGAGACTTACCTCCAAGTAAACATCTATAAGCTCTGTGCAATTCTTAGCTGATTTGCTGATACAGTTCCATGATCCCCTTCAAATGGCTCGGCTGTGTTCTCTTAATTATGGGGGTTGTTTAGCTGTGAATTTATTCCTGGAAGCACCAATAATTATCCACATCTCGATCCTCTTATTTCTTTATTGTTCCACTGCAGTTTGGCAGTGCAGCATTGTGCTGCGAAACAGCTACATTATTCTCAGCCGTCTCTGGTGGGAATTTGAGCTTTTTGGTCCTAGCAAAGGTTTGGCTTCACACCTGCCCATATAAACCACAGGATTTTCTCATCCAGCAATAGTCGGGCTCAAATGGCTCCTGGCAGAACAGGTGGACCGTCCCCAGGGAATTGGTTTAGCGGCTTCAGAAAAATAATAAGCGTGGTCCTTGGCATGATGTTCTCTGAATCACTGCTGTAGGTTGCACACGCCTGACATGTCACAGAGAAGCATGAGGTTAACATAACCTTAGGGAGAGTTGGCATTGGAAGGACCATCTGTGGTTGAAAGGACAAAGGAGAAGATGGTGAGAAGAATCTTCTATTGAGTAAATAGCAGGGGTGGGTTCTACTTACCTTTACTACCGGTTCACAACGGGACCGTGTGGCTTTGAAACGTTCCCTTCGCACATACGTGCTAGTCGTTCCCAACTCTAGGGGGCGGTGCTCCGTTTCAAAGCCAAAGAGCCAGCGCTGTCCAAAGACGTCTCCGTGGTCATGTGGCCAGCATGACTCAACGCCAAAGGCGCACGGAACGCTGTTCCCTTCCCACCAAAGGTGGTCCCCTATTTTTCTACTTGCATTTTTTACGTGCTTTCGAACTGCTAGGTTGGCAGAAGCTGGGACAAGTCACGGGAGCTCACCCCATTACGTGGCATTAGGGATTCGAACCGCTGAACTGCCAACCTTTCGATTGACAAGCTCAGCGTCTTAGCCACTGAGCCACCTCATCCCTGTGATAAAGGAACTGGAGGCTAAATTTTATGATGAACCATTGAGGAAACTAGGTATGTCTTGCCTGTTGAAGAGAAGGACTAGGGGGGACATTACTGTCTTCCAGTATTGAGGGGCTATCTTATTCTCTTATTCTCCAAAGCACCAGAGGGCAGGACAAGAAGTAATGGGTGGAAGCTTGTCCAAGAGAGATCCAATCTAGAACTAAGGAGAAATTTCCTGATGGTGAGAACAGTCGATCAATAGAATAGCTTTCCTCCTGAAGTTGTGAGTGCTCCATCACTGGAAGCTTTCAAAAATAGACTGAACAACCGTTTGACCGGGATGGTATAAGAAGTCTCTGTCTTTAGCAGGAGGTTGAACTAGATGTCCTTTAGGTTTCCTTCCAGCCCTTTTGATTGACAAGCTCAGCGTCTTAGCCGCTGAGCCACCACGTCCCCTACTACATTAGTCTAAAGATACCCAGTTCCTGCAACTGTTCTTCATCTGTTTTAGCCTCCAGTCCCCTCATCATCTTGGTTGCTCTTCTCTGCACTCTTTCTAGAATCTCAACATCTTTTTTTTATATTGTGGATATTATATTTACCGGCTGGCCGAAGTTAACAGTGAATGTAATTTCTGTTTCCCAGTTGCTTTTGATAGACTGAGGAATGTAAACAGAGGCAGTGTAAAAGGAACCCACGTAGTATGGAATGAAGCAGCCTAAGAAGAAACGTTGGCGCATCCTGGGTCAAGACATAATCATTCCTCCAGCATTAACATGTCATGATCAATCAAGGGATTGTCATTCTATACAGAACTTGAGTTCTAAGGCCACGTTTCTCTTTATCTAACCAGGGCACAAACATGATTTGGCATGTTATCTTCTTTTTGCTCTGTTCCCATAACATTGCCTTCCTCTGATCCCCCAGCCCATGAAGGGAGACAGGGTTAAGTCATCCTTCGCTATGTTTCGGATAGTATTTTCTCTCTTCTTCTAACACTGTTCAAGGGAAGCCTGAAGGTGGGTCACATCTGCTAGGCTTCGGGACTCTTCATCATAGAAGGAAGTCAGAAGCAATTTAGGCAGGAGAAGGATTGGCACAGCAGGCAGCAAATGCCTTGTTGCTCTAGCTTTCTGCTGACTTGCCGTTCAGTAGTTGGAAAATTCTAAGACTCAGTAACAGTTACAGAGTTGGAAGGGACGTTGGAGGTCATCTAGTCCAACCCCCTGCTCACTCAGGAGACCTGTACTAGGGATTCGAACCGCCGAACTGCCGACCTTTCTAATCGACAAGCTCAGAGTGTCTTAGCCACTAAGCCACCTAGTCAAGCTAAATGTCGATGGAGATTCTCAGTCATCCAGCACATGGTTGTCCCAAATGTGTTTGTTTTTTTGTTTTTTCAAAAGGCAACTGGACTTTTTTGATTTTTCCTTGAAG